AAAAGGAACCAGCAGCATAGACCACTACAACATAGAAAAAACAAAAACGTTAAAGTATAATTCATAATCGGCAATGTTTCAATCTCATCTTGATTTGCGGTATGTTTCACATAGAAAGAGATATTTGACGAGGAAGTGCATAGACGATGCAAGTACAAAATCTAAATATTCATTGGAAAGTACTTGCCCTGTGGAAATAATGTAGCCTAACTAACACTATGCATTCATGCTAAGTATTTTATGGTTTAATTTTGCTACTAGGTAGTTTGGCCAAATTTCAAAGAAATACTAAATTTAACAAGGGCTATGTAAATTACTTTGACAGCTGTCTTGTGATGTTGCGCCAGGATAAAATGTTGTCGTGTGTTGTGGACATGTTAGACATGTTTGCCGTTGGGAATATGGCTGATACAACCCTTCTGGACAATCTTTACAGGCAGCAAGACCGGTAGTAGAGAATGTTCCTGGTTTGCAAATTTCTGAAAATAAAAACAGCCATTCTATCACTGGAACTCAAAGTAAATATAAAAAAATGCACCTGACTGATTATAGATACATTGTAAAAGAAACAGTTTTGAACTTTTAATAAAATTGATAATGCATTATAGAGGAACTTACAGCTAGAAAAATAGCTTAATAAATAAAATTATAATTGGTATCAATAAAAATATCTATGTTAAGCTGTTTTTGTGGGTGTGCATATGTGCGACACAGAGTGTACTTAACCAGTGAGCCACAGACTACAGAATTGTTGTTATTTACCTCTACACTCTGTGAAGTTGGTAGCGTGATCGCCAACAGTTGAATATCCCTCTTCACAGGTTTTACACTCTAGCTGAGCTTCTTCATCTTGGAAGGTGCCAGACTTACAAAGATCACACACACCAGTTGAAACATTGTAGAAACTCCCAAGAGCACAATTAACTGCATTAAACGAAAAATTATAAGTAAGATATTCAAAAGGGATGAATCAAGCCCTAGTACTGTTTTATTATGGAAGAGAGTCGTGTACAACGGTGGTGAAACACTAAAAGATTTGTACCAAGTTCAATCAAATCATGGGCAGTTTAATGAAGCGAGTTTAAAACTGACTTGTGGTACATTAAAATATTCTTCAGTAATTCAAAGCCCATTTCCAACTCACTGCAAAGATCTCGTGTTCCAACAGTCCTCAGGAAGGTCCCATTTGTACACACTGGCTTTGTTTCCTCAGCATGGAAGAACTCGGTGTCAGGGGTGATGATGGTGTTGTCAAGGTTTATCTGCAAACTACCCTGACGTGTTTCTCGCTCAACGGATAGAGCGATTTCTTCAATAGTGTTCTTGATGTGATTGTAGTTCAGAAGGCTCATGTCGTCATCCTGAAAGAGATAGTGGAGCAGATAACATCAAATTTTGGAGGAATCTTTCAAATTGTGATACAAGCACCAAACTTGGTACAAATACTCATGAGACATTACTCTTTTGAAAAAGTACGCGGGCCACTTGATTTGACTTTTGGCGCCCCCTAGCGGCGCTTTTTGGTACTGCAGCCGACCTTCCTGGCTTTGTATCTCCTGTTCCAAACATGCTACAGTCATGATTTTTATGTGGTAGAACGATGTTAAAGGAAGAAAGAAGTGACGTAAATTTGGTGTCTCTAGCAGCTTGCGTTGGAACTGCAGAGGCGTTTTTTTCCGGTGCACAATTTGCTCCAACTTGGAGTCCAAGGGGGCTAATTTGACCTTTGGCGCCCCCTAGCGTAATCACTGTGAGCAAATTGTGCAACGGCAAAAAACGCCTCTGCAGTTCTAACGCAAGCTGCTAGAGACACCAAATTTAAGTCACCTTTTCCTTACTTCAACAGCTTTCAACCACATAAAATTCATGAGTGTAGCATGTTTAAAACAGGAGATACAAAGCCCGGAAGGTCGGCTGCAGTACCAAAAAGCGCCGCTAGGAGGCACCAAAAGTCAAATCAAGTGGCCCGCGTACTTTTTCAAAATAGTAATGTCTCATGAATATTTGTACCAAGTTTTGTCCTTATTTGAAAGATTATTTCAGTTATCTGCCCCACTAAAAAAGAGAAACAGCCATTTCTATTAATTTAATAGGCTTAAGTAAACAACACATTTTGATTATATGCTTCTAAACATCATCATATGCTCTGGAAAATTTTGTTTTCTGTTTTATATATAACATCAAGACAACACATTACACAGACTTACAGGCAGCATTAAAGAATATATGTCAGATTTTTTTCTAACTTACATCAGTTTTGTTTAAGACTTGCACTGCTACATTGTAGCGAATTCTTGCCACTTGGTTGAAGCCTCTACTCAGCAGGTCACGTTTATGCCTTGAGATTGTGTCATCTACGTCACCACAGTAGACCACCACATTTTCTACAAGGCAGGGGCTGTTCCCATCCTCATCCGTACAAGCTCCCATCATGCCGAATATTGAACCTTGCAGGATTTCAAGGTACTGCTCCTTGATGCTGAGTTGAGTACTTTCGTTATGGCAGTCACCCACGAAATACTGTGACTCCAGACCTTTGTGAACTTCATTGGGATCCCTTCGTTCTGTAAACAACAGAATCCACGTATGTAAACGCACTTATCGCCTTAACTATTGAATAATTACAGTTGCTCAAATGCAAACGTGATACATCAGTTTGAATTTTCTGTTGCTATCAGGACCTTAAACGTTGGTCGGAAAGCAAATGTCCCGTTGATTGCATAGTCAGTTATCCTGTTTTTCATGTTAACTACTCCAAATATGATAATAAATAACAATTTCTAGTACATCCAATTGTTTATTTGTAATACCTAGCCTCAGTCTAACGGGTTTTCTTCTAGGATCGGTGAAGTTTGCTGTCTTTCCTTGCCTATCTTCTCCTTAAACAGCCCACCCTAACAGTTGGGATTGTCCGTGACTCAGTTTAATTTCCGAAAAGTTCAAGCAGACACAAAAAATCATAAATATTTACAAATGATATCCTAGCAACATAGTTATACAAGGTATGCAGCCCCACATGTCTCCGCATCAAATCAGAAGCTATTAATATAGACGAGATACATACAATTACTGTTTGGGAGGACTTTGGTTAACCGAGTTCTAACTAATTGTCATATGTACCAGAACAATCTGGCCAGGGGAGTGAGTAACCAGGTGGGAAGGTACTCCAGTCCCCTGATCCACCACAGACATAGAGTTGAGCTGGGCTTGTTGCAAACTCGTAGAGATGGTTGCAAAGTACTGTGCAGAATCGCCCATATAGCCAGGTGTCACATGCTGTAGCTCCGTTTACAGGCGGTCGATAGTGCTCACACCTATGGGCTAAAGCAGCAAGAGTGAATATAGAGTAATATATAGTGAAATGACCCGCATCCCTCAGTAATCATGGTTAAAAAATAAAACATGGACTGAATTTATTTCAAACAAGAGTTAAACGGTCTCATACCTTCGCCAAATGATGTTAACCCTTGCGGTTGACAAATTATACAATTTTAATTGTTTTTGTAAATAGCAGCCTCATTTGCATGTATTATATCAGTTTATCATATTCTCCACCCAATGACAGCCTCATCTTAACAAAAAGGCTATTATAGCACTTTCTTATAAATTATGCAAATGAGGTCATGATTTTAATAGATTATGTTTATTGATGTTCACCTTTACTTTACTTCCAAATGTTGCAAGTATGAAATTTCCAGCAGTTACAACTATGAAATTATAAAACATTGCTATAAATTATGCAAATTAGGTCCTTATTTACATAATCTATATCCTCAGATGTTTTATCTCGTTCACAAGTAGATGTCACAAGTGTTGCATTGTTCTATTATCGAACAAAGCGGATTTATAGAATTTCCTCATTAATTATGCCAATTAGCCCCTTTTTGCATAATTGTTATTATGTCAAGCATCACTTTAACTACCTACATACCAAAATGATGACAATCCGTCAACCGGTTCTTGAGTTATCCTCCTTCGAAAAGATTTTAACAAATGCTCCTGCAGTTTCAGAACAAGCCGCTAGGGGAACAAAACTCAGGTCACTTCTTCCTTATTTCAAGAGCTATCTGGCATCTAAAATTCGTGATATTCGAGATATCAAAACCGGAAGTTCTGCTGCAGTACCCAGAAAAGCCGCCAGGGGCCCAAAACCTAATTATTTTTTGGTCTCATGAAGACCTACCCACCTACTAAGTTTTTATTCCAATCCACCCACTGCTTCTCGAGTTATCTTGCTAAAACACACCGACACACACACACACACACACACACACACACACACACACACACACACACACAAACACACACATAGACAAACGCTACTGAAAACATAACATTCTTGGCGAAGGTAATTACAAAATAATTTTCAATGTGCAGATCTGCCAAACACACCAAATGGGGAAATTAAGATGGATTAAAGCATTAGGGTATTCAAGGCGCAGAAGTTGGATAAAATGTTCATAAAAGGAGGCTGCAAAAAGCATTTTCGCTCTGCCTTTTGCACAGTCATAGTCAAATAATTGACTTTAGCCTAGGCCTGCTTTACTCCGACCAAAGGAAGGCGCAGAATTACATTTAAACCATACATTTGCCTCATCAATAACCACAGCTTGTCTTATGACCTTCAATACAAAAAGAGCGCTCCATTTTACATCAGATTAAGGCAAATGTACCAATGCAAGCTGCACATTACATCCACTGCGTCAGCTCTTTGTGGAAATACAACATAGTACAGAATACGGTGTACTTACGAGCAACATCTATAGTAAAGTCACATGTCTTGGTATTGTCTCCATTATCTGTTGCACGATACTCAACGATGTGGGTACCCCACCAGAATTCTGTTCCGTTTTCATGTGACTGAATTAAAAAAGAATGAAACATCATTAAAAAAGTTACAAAGTGTATCCATGTTATGATGGGTATAATGCGTTTAAGGTCGTAACAAGTTGTAACATATGGACTGGCAATATGACCTTAAAATTGGATGCATTCGTGTTTAATTGGTGCCGAACTATTCCTAACCTTGCATACGTAATACGAACGTGTATTTTTGTACAGGTACGGTAAATGTTCGCAACTGTACAGCAATTTTTTTCATAATAACAGTTGACTTTAACCAAATATATGTCGTTTATTTTAGCCACACCTGGTATCTAATGTTCGATACTTTTAAAGTAGATGGAAACAGTTCCTATACAATTTCCTAAGTAGAAAAAGTATATTGAATTTATATTGAAACTGATAGACCATTAAATTAAAATCAAGTGCTTGTATTGGATTTGAAGTCAAACTTTGTTGAGAAGCAAATTTCACGTTACGTTACCTTGAAAACACTCAAGTCTTCATCTGCATTATCCACAAAGTAGGGTTCTTCCCAATAAACCTTTATCTTACGTTCCTCTGCAGAAGCAATGATGTCATCTGGGCAGCTCAACAGCGTTGGTGGTTCGACATCTGTGTTAAGTTGAAAGTGGTATATTTTGATTAGATGCATAGCATTATGATTCTATGGTCTATGATTCCGATAAATTTGTTCTGGTTATCTTAAACTATTCTTAGTATTTTACAATTTTTCATAAGTCTTGCAAATTTTAATTGGTATTTAATATCAGGTTTTTCCAATCTTTTTGCTGAGACAGAAATGTTCGAAATTTATACGGTTTTAGCTTACAACAAATTACTTGATAAATTGATTGAGTTGTTCTTGTCATGTTAACATATATGCTATAGATGGTCATTAGACACATTAATATTGCAGAAGGAAACTGTCTAGGTCTATCCTACTATAAACATCTGTACCTTTTATTTCTATTTCAAAGTCACATGAATGCATAAGGTCTGCTTCATCTATTGCTGTGTAGTTAACGATGTGTTTTCCAACTGAGAACCTATGTGGCGGTGTAACGCTGCTGAGGATCACAGGTGTAACTCCAGTGGTGTCTGTAGCAACTGGTGCTGCCCAGGTCACCTCGGCACTGTCCAGACCCGGGTCGTTGTCTGCTCTGATGTCACGTGGGCATATTATGCTTGGAGGTGTTGTATCTGGGTTTTAAAAGTGTTGTTTAGGAATAATTACTCCACAGCAAGTTTTGTATGAATTGATTCCTCCGCAGACTCCAAATCCTATGTGATTCAGAGAAAAACAAACAAGGCACCCCCCAAAAAAATTCTTACATTTTCAAATTTTCACATCATAAACCTTGTTAAACTGGAAGTGATACATATATTGTTAACTGCCAACCATTACAACACCCATTTAATACCAGAATATTATTTTAGTATTATAATTAACTTAATGTATAAATGATTTTGATTCAGTAGAAACATCACAACGCACGTCACCATCAGATATTAAAAGAATATTTTCTTTTCACTGAAAATGACAAAACAGAGCCAAATTAGACCCTTGTCTTGCGTCCTCAGACTCTTCAAACATACCTGCCATCCACGTTCTGGCATGTTAATGGACATGTTTGCCTATTTTTTTAATGTTTATCACTGTGATAGGGCAACAAAATCTATTTTATTTTCTAAAATTAGACGAAAATTAATGCGCGCGCTGATGTTATTTATAAAAATCACTTGTTGTGGCCTTATGTTGGGCACGTCTTTTGGCGCTCTAAGGAAGCCAAGTTGATTTGTTTCCATAAATTCATGTAAGCATTCTAATATGTCAAATAAATGAGTCATATTATATATTAAAGTGTCAAGTATCTACCTTCACAGGTAAAGCCATCGATTGGTTCTGTCCACGTCCCGTCGCTGCTGCCAGGGATCGGGGAAGCGACACATGTAGTCACTAGAGTCGTCTGTCCGTTGGTACTGCTATATCCAGGTTTGCAGGAGAAAATGCAGCTGTCAAGGTAGCTTGTTTTGCTCATGGTACAGTTGCTTGGGTATGCTACCACATTGGGTAGTGGGTTGAGTCGTGCACAAGTTATGGCTGAAAAATAACAATATTGAATTTGTTATTTTACATTAAAACATGTCCATCTAAGTAAGCATTTCCTGAAATTATAATAAAGAATTAATCTCGAATAATTTTTACATTATCCTACTGCACTTCAAAGACAAGAATTGTATATGATGCATGCAAATTTGTAATGGTTATCACATCACATTGCTTTTAATGATTAACGTACCCTCACAAAACGCTTCAGTCCCTGTCCACTGCTTGTCATTTTGGCAGTGTCGGCTTGGAGAACCATTCAGGATGTACCCCTGAATACATGTAAACGTGCATTCAGACTGATACCAGTTGGAGGCATTGCAGCTTATTGATCCATGCGCGGGTGCATGCAGCTGACCACATTGTATCCCTGAAAAATATCGTCATTAAGCTTGTGTTCTAAAGGTAGATCGGTACCGGTATTTTATGACCAGATCCTCTCTCTTGACAGTTATATATTATGTGTTTTTCATGTCTCTTTGGGATTTTGTGTATTGGCAAAGAAAAACCAGAAAAAAATATTATAAAAGCAGCCTCTAAGATCTCAACATATTATACATCATATTGAGATTAACTTTACAATTTTTCAAGAAAAAATGTCAATAATTGGTTAGAACCTGGTCCTCACCTGAACCTCAGATTAACAACAATAGGGGTTGATTTAAACAGGTTATGAAATGGCACATCACAAGCATCTTAATAGAATAAACAGCCGAAACAAAGCACACTTATGTTGTGCTATGGCTAACGGAGAGAGATATAGATATATGTATATATTGGGTTGATTTAACTTATCGTAGTCACCCCCTCTTGTCAGAACAATAAAAATAATTTAATGTACTTGCCAGAATGTTTTGATTGGAATCACCCCAATCTATTCTTATTGGTAAATTGTATTACTTTCATCAAAGAGAAATGCCATTGTTTATCTTGTTCTAAGCTACGGAACAATGTCCCTCTAGCTCTGGATCATGGTGAGAACTCCTTGAGCCCGGGAAATAGACAATGTCTTGCCGGTTATATAGAATAAGTTGTTAATGTAAATGTCTCACCTACAACGGCTAATTTACCATGACTACATGCCAAACGAAACTACTATTTTTAGATATCAAAGGCTTTAATTGTATAGAATCGTTAGTGGTGTGTAAACCAGAATTGACAAAGTTTGGGACACAATGTAATTAACTCACATCTGTCGTAAGTTAGGTTAATGTTAAATCCACCTACTTGAGCATGCCACTCTAGTGCCCTCCCAGCGTCCTTGTGATTGACCTGGGTCATGTCCACATCGTAGCCGTTGTGTCTGTGGAACATTTGGATCGGCTGGCTGGTATCCACTCTCACATGTAAAACTGAACACGTCTCCGTACTTAAAGTCTCCATCAGTGGGCTGCATGATCTGATTGATGTATGGCTGAAGTGGGGTACATTCTACAACTGTGAAAGAAACGAAAAAAAATTATAAATTTGTAATGCACATAACGGCAGTGAACCTTAATCCGACGCAACCTTAATCCCACACTTTTCAACACTCCTCTGTCTGTTAGGATCTAACACTGATATGCAAATTTTTTTAATTGCTTTACAAACTCAATAAGCTAAGGTATACAGCATAAAAACTTGAAACAGTGAGCTAACGAAGTCAACATGGTAGGCATGTCGTGAGAGGAAGCTTCCGGAAGGACAGTGGTCAAAACATCGACAATTTATCCTTACATCCCCATGCTA